TTGTGGGTGGGCGTTGCAATCAAGTATATCTGTGAACACACACGCCAGACCAGCCTGAGGTCAGGAGGCAAAGCTACCCATGCGCAAATCTATGCCAGTCAAGCGAACAACTGAAACTGACTGACATAATGGATAAGATAAACTTCATCTTTACAGAAAAGAGATCCCCTTTACGGAAGTTTACAAGTGACCTATAATATTTTTCAACATGTTCATACATCACAAACCAGATACTCGGCAGGAATCGGTTGAGTCTTACATCGGAGCAAAATTCCTGTGGGAATAAGAGCAACCGTTGAAATATATCTCATTTGAGTTTAATTAAAACCTAAGGTTGGTAGAAACCATTTGACTGCACTTTTCTGATGACCCTCGAGAAGTGCGAAAACGGTCGTTGGCTGTGGATGAAATAAATGAGTAACGTGTTATGTTCATACAAGACCTTTTTCAAGCCCGCTATTTCATGTCTGATCTTATTGAAAGAACTAAGCCTAGATTTAAAAGACTTCTAACTCAAAAATGCTTTGAAGAAGTGGGTCCTGATCATCACACATGAGGTTCCTGAATTTCCTTTAATATTAGAACTATAAATTAGAGACAATAAGCGTAGAAAGCCACCTCCCTAAATCCACTTTAGTTTGTCGTTTAAATTCCTTTCAGTAGTGGAGACCTCTCAGTGAACTGCCTCTTGGAGCAACTGCTCACGTGCTTTTCTAGATCCAACGTATGACACTGTAATGTCTTAAATCAAATCTTGGGTGTGAAAAGATCTGCGAAGGTGTGCATTGAGTAGTGTTCTAATATAGATACCACTAACGTTGGATATCATCACCTGCGATACACTAGTACATGTGACTGTCATATAGTTGTCGGCAAGTAAGTAATGAAAAAACTGCCGAAGGCTGAAGACTTATCTAAACAAAAGTTGAATAACCATAGGAACAGATTCCTGGACATATCACCTTCAACTTACAGCGCTAATGAAAGACGCTTATCCGCGCGTTGTGTCAGTTGAACGAACAATCATTACCGATAACAGGATAATCATATGTTGCAGGGCACTTTGGCAACAAAAATACCGCATGTTTAACACTGTGGTCGATTGTATGCCCCATCTTGTAGGGCTTGTAACCAAGTTCAAGGAGTATCAAGTTGGTTCTAACCAGGAATGCGCGAAAAACTCATGGCACCCAATTCAAGTATGGCCAGCATTTTTCGCCTCACCAAATTACAACCCGTTCCCCAAAAATCTTTCACAAAACCTTCCCAAAACCTTTCACAACCATGATGCATAAATTGAAGAACAAACTCAGGACAACTCTGTGAAGTCTCGCAAACAAGAAAAAGAACAGAAGCTTTGGAGTGTATGCTGAAGGAAGGGGTCACTTTCGACGATTTGTTTAGTGCGTTGTATACAATAACGGAAAATGACTTATATGGGATCCACGATTACAGATGCCTGTTCGACTTCAAGATTCAAGATCTCCTGTGAAGTTCGCTATACAGTAGCATCAGTAACAAATCTAAAGGACATGTGATTGAGTGTGGCTGTGTTTGGATTTACTAGTGCTGGTAAGACTGGAGAATTCTTGCTGAAAACATTTGTACCACACAAAGTGTTGGCCTGGACTGGAACTCAAAATTACAGAGTTCAATAACGTTTAAATACATGAATAAAAGTTACTGCACTTCGTTATTCAATGCCCCCTGTGAATCCTGGGAACCAAGGACCTTTGGCTAGCAACTGTGTTACTCAAGTGTTTGCACTGACGGAAAGATGTGATCAACGTAGACTATTACGTGTTCGAAATCCCGCTGATACTCTCGGACTTGAGTCTCCACTGCCAGATTCGTGCGTTTAAAAACAGAGGAAGTTGGCCGCGGTGTTACGAGAGGTCCCAGACCTATACACCAATGGCTATAAATTTCAAATAAAGGTACGATGACTGACCAATCCCAAACCTCCACGGTGTGTTTCTGGACACACAAATCTAAACAGATAAATACGTCGAACAAGAACGCAAAGGATTGTCATTTTCTATGGACAAGGCAGTTGTAAACCGATCTGGATCAACATTTCGGTGCAAAATTTTTCAGCGAACAGACAGTAAGTAGTATTCCATAGTATCTGAGGCATATGAATTTAGGGTCTAGGGCTTGCTACAAGAGAGTCGAATATAAAGTGAGGCACAATAAAGCATAAAGTGACCCGAAAATAACAGTTCCAGTTAAAATAAAGCCTTTTGTCAAGGACTTGTCAATGAATTAACCACAGATCTATGACTCATTCCAAAGAAGAATTCAGAAACCAATTTATGTTAAGGGCTTGATAGCCGTCAGCGGTATCTCAACGCGGAATCGTCACAGGCAAGTGCCAGTAGAAGCAAACCTACTACTACAAAGTTTGAATCACACAGAACCTACTTCCTCGCTCCATTCGGATCGATTGTTGTCGAAGCGAATTACTCACAGAGCGATTTCACCAAACCACACGCATGATCTTCCTGAAGACATGTAGGTTTTAGAGCACTTGTACGTCAACCAGATTTTGACAGAGGACATTGCTCTCCTTGAAAGTGTGATAACCGAGTGGGCGTAAAACGAATGGCACAAACGGGGTAGTCAATACAGAGGGAAGGAGACTGAAGGCATACCAGCAATGACCAACTTTTGTATTGGCTGCTCAGCGTCAGGCCTCCTCCATGTTGGGTGTAGCGGCTCCTTACAGAGCTATATCAGAGAAACGGATCCGCTATTATGCATCACTGAGCACGTTATGATGATTATCAGTAAAGTTTGAAAAGACGATGACTGCACAAACCTCATTCGCAGTGTCCAATCTACCTCGTGCTTCAAAAAGGCGCCACCTATTCCAATAGGAATGACAAATGGTGCTTTTTCAGACACGTTAAGCACTTTCGTTATCAGACATATTTTCTAGAGAACTTGTCAGTCTTCTCTGACTTTCTAACCTCGCCGTTTTCAAAGCACCCATCTTGAAAATTTTAATCCAGTCTGGCCAAATTCGCCCAACGACCACGGGCGACATCTCTGCAGATGAAGACAGAAAGCCTAAAAACCAAGTGTCAGGCTTGGCGAAAAGACCAGCGGACATATGATCAACAATCGTAACCGAACTTTAGTATAGTCTCATTGGGACGGATACCAGGGTCTGGGACTGCAACAGCTGTGAATCCGAGCCAAATAGTCTAACTGTAGAAATGTCTAACATCTGTAACCTGTGTGTTATGTAACTCGATTTTTTTGGATTACTTACTGCGTCGCGTGGCTCTACAGTTCACTCACGCTATAATGTCTTTAAGTGTGTTCGAAAACTTTTGATATTCTTCATGGTCGGCCTTGTAGCACGCTGAAACTTCATAGATTTAGATGTTGCGTTCATGACAATGGGACATCGAAGCATGTGACGCTATTGTGACACGCATTGTGACACTATTTTCATTTTCCCTCCCTTTTGTTGGCTTCCAAATTTGCTGACAAGTATACTCATTCTCCCCTAGCCTACCTAGCTACTCATTTGACCAATTTCGTACGGTCTCCCTGTTTTCATTAAACCAACTTATTTTGTAAACCAGTCATGATATCCGTATTGGAATAAGGAAGACGAATAAAGCCGTGGTCTGGAGCAGTCATAGGCATTTATGATGTTGACAGTTTTTCACTCACATTTGTCCATGTACACTTAACCAATCATTCAATTTTCTCACATATTCTTCCTGCTTTCTACTGATGGTTGCCCTAGGGACTCTGCAATACATGGTATCTGCTTTATCAAAACTTTCAGTCACTTTTGACGTGAACGCTCCTGTTACCATTTTTGTGAACAAGTATTATGGTATTTAGCTTGGGCGTTCGCACTCGACAGTTGGTTAGAGACGATAGATGCACTGAATCGTCGGGTCGTGTGGTATGCATCTCTTCAAGATAAACTTAGGCTGCATCCTCATACTCACATCTCCATACTTCCTGCTGATGCTAAAAATATGTTGGCTTGTAGTCCGTTCTTGTCTCAGCAATATGAATAACCCTTTCTTTATTGTGTACATACCTCCAAGTCTGTTTACCTCTTTGATCTCACCGGATGGCAGATAATCGCGCGGACCTTATCATAACCGTTGGTAGGAGCCGAGACGAGAGTTGGATGATAGAGATCTGTATAAGGTGATATAAGGAGGTATGCCGCTTGGATAGACACCACGATAGTGATAGATGAATAAAGAAGCAAGAGGGTTACTACAGTAACGATAATTTTACTTGGCTCATCATTGTCGGATATAAAGACCTCCAGAGGTAAGCAATGAATATGCCAATGTGATGGACTAACGACGGTAGAATATCACAACCGAAACTGACGTCAGCTTGAACAGCTGTCACAATAGCAAGTAAACAGTTATTTTGTTCTCTTTTATACAAGCTTCCCGTACGTAGCAGTTGTGATACGCATCTCTGTCAGCTGCCCAATCGTAAATTCAAATACCCAGGTGTGTAGCCTTCCGATGGTTCTAGAATTTTTGAGTGTTGTATCCGCGCCTATGGAGTTTTATCATCGTAACTACCCTCATTTTCCCGCCTTTTCAAGCCTCTTGTTTAAATCACGAGGCCGATTTAAAAAACTAACTACCCAGTTGTGGGCGTTTCTCGGACTGTTTCAAATGTCACTTACCTGTTTTCGGGAAGGCATGATTTCCAAAAAATGAACAAAGAACCAGCCAGAGTTATCACGTTTCTATCTAGCAATCCTTTTTTTATAGAATTCTACTAGAGATGACAGGATTCTCGTTAGTGATACTTTTCCCTTAAGCATTATTAAACGTGTCACGTACAAGACAATTTAGGCTTTATGTTTTTATTTAAAACCATCATTCTTGAATCCAAAGCTTATTTCACCCTAATTTTACAGCCAATCCGTCATCTTTTTTTCTATTTGAATCTCAAGCTAAAGATTTTCAAACTCCATTTTTTCGTTCGTGCATTTGTAGATTCCGCTCCGCTTGAACATAATGTTTTGGGGCCAGGAATTTTGTTTCGTACTTTTCGTTTGCCTTTTTCTGGCAGTCGCCTCATCAAATGAAGGTAACCCAGCGAATGCATACCTAAGCATATTTTTGGATACCTATGTTCCAGGTTGTTTGAGTTACATAGCTAAAGATGAACCAGTAGAGAGGCTAACTAAATCTGTTTTCAAAAATGTTTGTGCATTTCACGAAAATGACTGTATTTTATTTTTTTTCACTGCCCTAGCGAAAAACATAAGTAAGTTTTTTGGCAGTGAACATTATCAAAAACCGGATGTTATCCCATGCCTGTGCTATGACAGCCTGTGATATTTCAAATCAGCGATTTTATGAAATATAGTGTAGTGAGTTTTTGTGGACTCCCAATTTTGATTGCGAATTGCCAGATTTCAGAACCCCATAATCTTCATTTGAGTAGGACATACTGAGCGCGCGTTGTTGTCGACGGCATCATATGTATTCGTATAAGTGCTGAGTCTTTTGCTTGTAGGTGTTGATATACGTGGAAAAGTCTACATGACAGGTATGGAGTTGCCTTGGTTTGGAGATCTGGCTAATAAAACAAGTGATCTTTACAAGGGGCTGGAAGAACATTTATGTTATACGGTAAGTCCAGTAATGACTACTTCACTCAGACGGAAGTTTCAAACTTTAGACTGGGGCACATTCTTTCTTGCCTTGTGCTGCTGAGAAACAAAGTATTTTTCACACTTTTCTCTCAGCTGTGAGATATGTTCACTGACTGACAGTTCCGATAAGATGAACATATTGAATCATGGTCGTATGAGAGCATATGCAGCACGATGCATATTACTCAGAGAACTTCCTAGAATGAAGCAACAATTGTACTGCACTACACTCCTCTAGAAAACATCTCTTTAGGACCAAAAAGGGTTTATTTTTGGCACCCAAAAAGGCTAGTGCACTTTCCAAGGCAGAATAGTACAAATGCAACATATCTGTGCACTCATATTAGCTAGCCAAAATCACTTCGGGAAATTGATGTTACCAACAACTCAGCTACAGTAGCTTAGACTATATTAAGCTCTGGCTAAGCTCTAGTAATCTGTGGGGAAACATCTCATCTACCTACAAGAACACTGCAATCACTCTATATTTCCAGCAGGATATTCCCCAGTAGAATGCACGGATCTCTTGTTACACTGCACAGAACGCTATCACCATACTGTATGTAAGCGGTTCTCAGAAAACAAAACATTGGTCTGGAAAGTCGAGCAGACCTTGAACTAATGACGACAGTTCCTCAGCATTTCTACCATGGGCTTTCCTCAACAGGCAAGAAATCCTACAAGACCAAAATAAAAATGCCTCCCTGGTGGAAATCTCCCCCTATGGGGGAAGCAAACTATTGAGGCCAGACAGAAGATGGTAGTGACGTATCAGTGCACACTGACCTAACTAGCAGGAGGAAATAGGCAAGTCCACCATGTCTGATACCTGACTCAGATACTCTCATCTGAAAACCAAATAGAAAAAATCATTGATCCGTACATTCCTTAGTGTGAACAGAAGGTGTTGTTGACGGTCGGATAGATTTCTACTTTTTCATATTATCCAAACACATGTACAATGGAACGCCGTCCCTGGAATGCAGATTTTTCAAGATATCTCAATGATTTTTTCGGCAATTTTAATGCTGTCTGACTTTGCAGTGGACTTATAGAGACATATTTTCTCAGGCAAGTTAAATGGGAACTTTTTCAATGAAAAATTGTAAGTATTCCTCATATACGGTTTAAAATAATTTTATTTGTTGGTTTGACAAGTAAAACATCTTTTCAGAAGACCAACTGAAGCGACATTTTCCGATATCCTCTCGACATGCAGTAATCTTAAGCAGTCAGAGAGAGGGACGACCGCACCGTTTATCGTTTCTCTCTGAGCCACCTCGTATCCATAGTCACTATTCAGGAATTTGTGCTTCATTCTAAAAAACGCAAGAATATTGACCATTTAACATAAACATCATGGGAAAAGCACAGCTTTATTCAAGTCGTGTTCGAACCAGTCTCAAAGGAATTGAACGTATGATCGTAAATTTTCAGCAAGCAAGAACAGTTGTGCTATTTACACTACCCAGGGGAAGAAATCCCTCGAGGTATTTTATCGTAGTAAAGGTTGTCTAGTAACCATGACGACATCGTAGCCCGGACTTGGTGAAGGCCTGTGAACTCTGTTCAGCCTCTGTGATTCTGTACACTTTCTTTTGCACTAAGGGGCTAAGTGAAAAGTTCTTCAGCACATGTGACAAATACATACGAAGGAAGTCACACATAGTCCGTAAGCGCTGTTGTTTTAGACATCATACAGTTAACGACTTTGGCAATCTTTCCTGTGCAAAAACCAAATAACATTACAACGAGCATATAACTCGCCATTTTCGTTTATCAAGTACCCCACTAAAGGGAAAACGAAAGAGCACTTTACTAACTATGATGTTGTAAGCCAAGTTCCGTCGAAAGAGACGATCAAACCGATTTTATTCGCTGAAGAATACTGTATGAGTTGCAAAAGTTTTATTTCTTTTATCACTCACTTCCACACATTGGACAAGAATATTCATTAAGGACGATAATTTAACGTGTATGGGACACACCGAAGTTGATATCACAAATGCTTTCCTCATTAAGGGTGACCATAAACCAAAAGTATGGCCATCAAGGTGTGAAACACTATCAATACGTACGTCCACTTGTCACAAGAACTGTACACGTCAACGCGTGCTATGTATTGGCCTTCTAACCACCTGAAGACGCGAAAAATCAAACAGTCGGTGTACTGAGTTCATTCACCTAATAATTTCACAAATATATGTTGAACAAATTATTTTCAGGAAC